GTCTCCAAACAAGTCATTTAGAAACAACTTTACCATAAGCTGCACACCCAAGTGTGGCTTTTCACAGTTCTTACCTCGGGAGACTCTGTGTTTATATTACTGACCTGTGGTGATTCTGCACCCTTCTGAAAGTTCCCTTTGGGAATGCCTCATGATTTTATTGCCATCCTTGATTTTATCCAAAAATGGTATTATCCCAGTTCGAATATCATATTTGCCTTCCAATGATTCTGAAATTCTTCTAAAAATCATATCCACCCTGAAACAATGATTTGCTGTGCCTGAGAGTATTCAAAAGCATGTGCGGGGGGTTCTAAAAGTAATGTAAAAACTAAAACTATATTTTAAAAAAACTGTTTTGTTAACTTTTAAAACTGTCTCATTGGGGAAGCCTTTCTAATTATGACACAAACCCCAGAATTCATCAAATAAGATAAATTGTAACAAACTGTAATAAATTAGATACATTTAGGAAATTCTCTGGTGGTCCAATGGTTAGGACTTGGTGCTTTCACTGCCGGGGCCTGGGTTGAAACCCTGGTTGGGGAACTAAGATCCCACAAGCCTCACAGCACGGCCAAAAAAAACCCAAACAAACAATTAGATATATTTAAATACATTAAAATAGTAAAATTGTGTATTGAAAAAATATTGTAAAGTCAAAAAGTAATAATAAAATGGGGAAAAATTTGCAGCACATTCTTCCACGATAGCTAATTTCCTTAATATATAAAAATCTCTTAAAATCAGTAAGAAAATGACCATAATCTTACAGAATAATTGGCAATGGACATGTACAGATGTTTCACAGAAAAGGAAGTATTCAGACACACGCACACAAGATGAATTAGATCAGTGCCTAGTAAAACTATCAGTTTTCATTGTTCATCTGACAGAATGGCAGAGCAAACAGCTTGGCCATGGCTGTGTTGATGAGGGCTTGGGAAGCAGGCACCAGAGCTGCCAGTGGAGTTGTAGGGAATTCTGGCAAAGCAGCCACAATTTAAAATGTTCCTGCCCTGCAGAGCAAAGCAAACCGTCGACAAAACAAAGAGGCAGCCTACTGAAGGGGAGGAAATATTTACAAATCATATCTCTGAAAAGGGGCTAATATCCAAATTACATAACAAACTCATACAACTCAATAGCAAAAAAACAAAACAATCTGTTTAAAAATGGGCAGAGGCTCTGAATAGACATTTTCCCAAAGAAGACATACAAATGGTCAACAGGTACACGAAAAGACACTCAGCACACTCATCATCAGGGAAATGCAAATCAAAACCACAATGAGATATCATCTCACGCTTGTCAGAATGGCTATTGTCAAAAAGACAAGAGAGAAGTGTTGGCAAGGAGGTGGAGAAAAGGGAACCTTTGTGCACTGTTGGTGGGAATATAAATTGCAGCAGCCACTGTGGAAAATGATATGGAGGTTCCTTAAAAAATAGAAAATAGAACTACCATATGATCTAGCAATCCTACTTCTGGGAATATAGCCAAAGGAAATGGAATCACTAATTAGAAAAGATACATGCACCCCAATGTTCATAGCAGCATTATTTACAGTAGCCAAGATATGGAAACAAACTAAGTGTTCACTGCTGGATGAATGAATGAAAAAATGTGAAATATTATTCAGCCATAAAAAAAGAACGAAATCTTGCCATTTGCGACAACATGGATAGACCTAGAGGGCAGTGTGCTAAGTGACATAAGTCAGACGGAGAAAGACAAATACTATATGATCACACATGTGGAATCTAGAAAACGGAAGTCATAGAAACAGAGATCAGACTGGTGGTTTCCAGAGGTAAGGCGTCGGGGGGGGGGGGGTGCGGTGAAATAGATCAAAAGGTACAGACTTCCAGTTATAAAATAAAAGCCCTGGGTATGTAACATACAGCATGGTGGCCATAGTTAATAATATTGTACTGTACATTTGAAAGTTGCTAAGAGAGTAGATATCACAAGAAAAAACATTCTGTAACTATGTACGGTGACAGTTAACTAGACTTATCGGTGACCACCTCACAACATATACAAATGTGGAATCATTATGTTGTACACCTAAACTGATACGATGTTATATGTCAATTGTACCTCAGTTAAGAAAAGAACAGTTCAAGACATGATGTCGTGTCTTGCCTGGGGAATCTGTTCCCGTTCTGCATGAGGCGGCATAACAGCAGCAGGCAAACCCTTGCGGGTATTTCAAGTGAAGTCCTTTTCGAAACTCCTCCAGGGGTCTCACAACTCTGTCTTCTGGAAAAGTGTTGCTTCTTAAAGGACTTTGCTCCCACCAGGGCCCGATCTTCACAGGTGCTTGTCACCTCGAGCAGTTCCCTAGATCAGCAAGGCTGCCCCTTCAACCACTCCATTTATATCACCCTTAAGACTCATCCATCTCCCCCAGGAGGGCAGGGAAGATAGACCCCAACTCCACACAACACCCCCTCAGAACTGGACCCCAGAAGTCCAGGCAGGGTCTCCCAGTGGGACGCCTCAGTGAGTCACCTAAGACACAGAGCTCCCGGCACATTTTCTATTTTCTCAAGATACTGAACCCCGAGAATTCAAAGGGGAAGTAGGTTGAGCTATTCTGAGTATCGAGAGGGTACATTTCATATAGGGAGTAACAATCAGTTTAATTCCATTATGTTCTAATTTATGTTGACCCAAGCCTCTCCACCATCATTCAGCTTAAGCTGCAATTTAATTGAGATTTTAAATTCCTTATTAAAATACCCTTCTAAGAAGCACCCTAAGACAAAATAAAGCACGTTCCTGCAGTTGGGTCTGCAATGTCAGGCCAGCTCACGCACACGGGTGTGGGAGTGCAAACAGCTGGACACCACGGGGTTGTCATCCAGACGGGGCAGCTGTTCTGAGTGAGGGCGGGAAGGTGGGGTGCGGGAAACACGGGCAGGGCATGTGGGTGGGAGCCTCTTGCCCATGCATATGCATCACTCACGTGTTGGGATGTGCACGTGTGGCTATTTTTAAAAAACAAGAGCCCACTTCATTATCACAAAGACACTCAGTGAATGACTTGCATGTTCTGCTCAGCTCAGAAACATTCCATGACTTATTTGGGAATCTCTTGGGAAACGTCCAGTTGTTTATTTTTTCAGATGTGAGATCACCAACCTATAAACAGACCAAATCAATTTTCATTTCTGCCTTCATGCATTTTTGATTCCTTGCCTCTGGAGTCCATTAAGTATCTAAACTGTAAGGTATCACGGAAGGAAGGGGCTGGGAAGCCCACCAAGGTGGGGGTACTGGGTGGAGGGGAGCTGGTTTTCATGTCCTTGTCAAGTAGAGCCTGGAGCTTTAGTGCTGACGTGGCTAAGCATCTTCCTGCTCTGTCTTTCCCTGCTGTGTCGCATGCAGACCTCTGCCCCCTACCCCAGTATTGACACTTCAGGCAAACCACCGGGCAGAGGACAGCTGGCTCCAGTTTCCAGTGTTTGCATCCTGGTGGCCTCCCTCCAGCCCTCTAGGGTTGGGGTTGTGGCGATGCCCCAACCCAGACTGGGTCAGGACACCCAGGAGGGGGTGGGGACTCCCCATGTGGCTGTCCTGCAGGCTTAGCGCTTCTCAGGTTGTACACTCGCATCCCTCTCCTGGGCCTGCCCACTCCAGGGTCAGGGATCCGTGCCCACAGGCCTAACACGTGGGCTTATTCAGCAGTCACGTCACTCTGGACCCGCTGCAGCCCTGGGAGGGGTCTGTCCAGTCTTTGTCCGGCCCGTGACCCCCTTCCGACTGTCCTGGATTAAAGCCAGATCCTTGCTGAACACACTGCAACCTGGAGCTCGGCACTCACTCCAGACCCCACGGCCGCCAGAGGTGATGAGCCCAGATCCTCACCCAGCAGTGCCGCAAGTCACAGTCAAGGGGGCTCTGCCCTGACAGACCCCAGGACAGCCTGGGCCTCCACAGGGCCAGTCCCGGACAGGGAACGCCAGGAGGGCCCGACGGGGGCTTCTGTGTGTCCTTCTGCTGTTGTCTCCCCAAGATGTACCGACAGGATTTAATCCTGCCATCACATGTCACCCACTTGGGCAGGTTTTTGTTTAAACTTTGGTGAACAGGAACTTCAGATGCCTGACACCTGGGATGGAGGGACACAGCTGGCGCTCACCGAGAGGAATCAGAGGAGCAGAAACCCTGGAAAACCCTTTATTTCAAGTGGAACACATGAGGTTCAGCTTGTTCTGTGAACTGTGCATATGCCACAGGAACGGCTGCGGGCCTGGGACACATAGCATCCTGTGCACAGCTCAGCCAGCATCCTGCGAGCCCGCGGGGACAGGCCGTGAGAGGGCGCAGCTGGGGCTTCAGCCCGACTGACACCGCTTGGCTGCAAATGGCTCAGGGCAGCGATACATCCACTGGGCTCAGAACACAGCTGCTACACGAGCACGCAGCACCACACAGACATCACTCACTCACAGACACAGATATCTCACAGCAGCTCACGCTCACGTTTAGACCGCTTCGAGAAGCCAGGGCATACGGGCCACAAAGAGGCATTTCCTCCAGCCCCTCTTTCCAGTCCCAGCGCCAACCCGCCAGCTAACCCTGAGCCACCCGAGGACCCAAGGAAGCGGCTTCTGGATGACATCACAGTCTACACCCACGGAGGAGATGCCTGGCCCGCCAGCCCAGGGGGCTCCCGCTGGGGGCAGTGGGACAAAACAAGACTCCCGTCACCGGACGTGTGTCACAGCCGCTCCAGCCCTGCAATGGGACGGTGGGGACAGCGGCTGTGAAACCCTGGCCTCGGCCTGCGCCCCTTACCCTGTCTGGTCACTGGCCACCGGGAACCAAGGCCTGGGCCATGTTCCAGCACGTCCAGGGGCCAGCCTGTGAGGTCACGGGGAGGAGGGTCTCAGCCTGTGCCGTGACCCCCTCCCCGCACACTGGGGGTCCCAAAGGGGCTTGTTCTGGCAGAGACAGTGCCTCTACGGGGATGGCTGGCAGCCGGGCTGCTACAAGGTGGGGCTCTTCTGTCGGCTCAGGGAGTCGATGTAATGAAAAGTGGCCCCCAGAGCCCAGCTGGTCTCCACGTTGTCAATCTTCCGGGTCAACTTGAAAAGACAAGGGGCGGGGGGGTTGAAGGGAGCACGTGCGTGTGAAAGGCAGGCATGTGCTCGCGACGGGCGGGGGCTGGGGGCACCGGGGGAGTCCCCACCTTCAGCACTTTGTCCCCCGGGAAGCCGAGCCCGTGGAGCAGCGAGCTGACATAGGTGAGATCCAGGCACAGGAAGGGGCTGCGCGGCGGCTGGGTCTCTGCCGTCCGGCACACTGCAGGGGAAAGGGCTCCTGGGTGGGGGAACGCGGAGTGGGGGGGAACGCGAGCAGCCGGACTCCACCCCCCTGGGGCACCCCCCCACCCCGCGAGGCCCTGTGCCACCCGGGGCCTCACTGCTGGTCAGAGCACAGCACAGGCAGGGACTTGAGGCCAACCCAGTGCCCACTGCCTGCCTCCAGGCCCCATCTCTGCACCGTGACCCCCGACACCTCTCCTAGGCGTGGACCTGGGGCTTCTGGTGACTGGAAGCACCCACCAAGCTGGCACGGAACACCCCACCCCTGTTCACGATGGGGACGGACAAACCAACCCACAGCCTCTGCTTGGAACCTTTTCTGTCAGGTGTCTGGGAGACAAACCCAGAGGTGATGAGAACGATTTTAAAAAAGCCTTTTCTGACGGGAGGGAGAGAAGGTCTTTCTATGGAGAAACATACAGCGTTTAACCCCTCTGACCCGCAACTGGGAAAGGCAACCAAAGAGCAGAATCTACAAGCAGCCCGTACACCCGGCCATGGAGGAGTGAGGGGAGTGGCAGCCACCGGGCACACCCCGGGGGACAGCTCTCCGTCCCCCACACTGGACTCTGCAGTGCAGGGGTCCCTGGCAATTGTGAATCTGCTGCGACACTTTGGGGAGTTGAGGTCACCTGAGTCACAGAGAAAGAGTCAGAAAAAGTGAAATCAAGGGAGTCTGCTCCTCACAACCCTGGGACTAAAAACGCCTGCCTCCACTGCCCAGGCCACACAGGGCACGGTGGGCCTGCGGTCTGGGCTAGCTCAGCGGCCCCTACACACTCTCACACCCCCGAAGCCTCGTCCAGTCAACAGTCAGGGGCCGACCAGGAGCTCTGGGGCCAGCGCCTGCCTCATGCCTGGGCCAGCGTCCTGCCTCCTGGCCACTCACCGTACTTGGCCGCAGTCTCAAAGTCTCCGACCACAAGGCTGCCTCCCTTCTCTGCATCTGTGGAGGAAACGGGGCACCCAGTCTGCACCAGCGCCGTGAAGCCGAGAGGGCACTGAGGCCCCCAGGCCTGCGCCTGGGATACCCTGGGAGTGGGGGGTCAGATGCAGGCGGCCGCACATCTGGGCATCGGCGTGCAGACGAGGGTGCCCTGACTCCAGCTACAGGGAACCTGCAGACCAGGCGGCCGAGGGGCAGCTGCTGGGGTGCCCCAGAGGGAGGGGCCTGGGCCTAGGTGAGGGGTGAGAGGTCACCTTCCGCCTGGACCGGATGGCTGCCATCCACACTGGGCCCGAGACCGAACCTGACGGCTTCGGTCTCTCCACGGCGGCTTTCTGTGGACATTAACGTTCTCACCCTTGCCACGGGCAACACGTTCTAATATCCTCAATCTATTTCATCAAAACACATGTCCGGTCACGACCCACTGAAGTGACCTCACAACCCTCTCGAGGGTTTCCAGTTGGTCTGACCAGCACCGGTCCCAGACTCACGATACCGTCTTCTGTCCTGACGGCACCGCGGGCTGGGGAGGGGTCAGGGTGACTCCGGGGGGGGGTCCTTAGGGCGATCTGAGGGGTGGGCTGAGCCCTCCTGCTGGCCTGGGTGCCAGCGGCTGACACAGGTGAAAGGAGAATAAACTGACAGCGAGGAAGCCTTCCTGCACTGAGCAGCTCAGAGAATTGACTTATTTATAAAAAGGGGGCCTATTACTCTCTACTCAGTGACATGTCCCCCGCCCTCCCTCTATTTCTATCACCCTGATGTGACTGACGGGTCCTCCACCTGGGGACCCACACCCAAGTCCCTGCACAGCCCAACCGAGCCCCACCCTTACCTATGAGGCCCACATTTGCGGCAAGGTCATAATAGTAGGAAAAGGCATAAAAATCCACGTCCTTCACTTCCTCTGTCCTGTGCACTTTGTTTCGGAGAATCTCGGACACTCGGCGGGCGCACAGCTGGTAGAGGCTCCCCGCTGGAGTGAAGGGAGAGCAGACTCAGCGGTCAGTGGGCTCTGGGCGCCTGACCACACAGCCCCGGGTGCCTGCGACCTGGGGGTGCTCACCAGCAACTTTTCAGGGGCCACGTGCTGCGGCCAGCTCAAGGGGAGAAACTGTGAGCACAAGAGGTGGCCGGAGAGAGTGTGGCCTGACCCTGAGCGTCACGTGCCTCCAGCTGGGCGCCTGCAGCTGCCGTGACGCAGCCCAGTGGGTCCACCCCACGCTCACCCTGCCAGCCCTGTGCTGAGCTCGAGTGTGCACTGTCCCACCCCATCTCACCAGCCGCCTGGGTGGGGCCTGCACCTCCCTCCTGTCACAGATGAGGAAGCTGGGGCCTACAGGCAGCGTGCCAAGCTCACAGGACTGGTCACTGACTCCTTGCTCAGAAGGAGAGCGACAACACAAGACTGAGTCAGTGGACATGGACGCCCACAGCCCACACCTGGACCCAGGTCTGATCTTGCCCCAGTCCTGCTCCACGTCCGACGGCAGCAGCTCCATTTAGCTCTCCCAGGGCCCTGGGAGCTGCACCCTTGCACTTGGGACCTCATCTCCCTGCACTCTCCCTCGTCTGACCCGTCACACCACCTCTTCCATGTTCCTTAAACATAGCATCCGCCTCTGATCCTTTGCATGTGCTGCTTCCGGGGCTTGGTGCTCACTTCCCATTTCTTCATGTCTTGTCTCAGGTATCAGCCCATGAGGCCTTCCCTGGTCGTCTTTAGACCACAATCCCCCCCTGGCACCCCCAGCCCCCTTCCGTTTATCACTGGATTGTAAGGAACATGCATTTGTTCTCCACCCTGGGTTCCTGGCACAGAGATTTGTAAAGCCTTGTAAGACCCTGAGTGGTGAGAATGAGAGGCGTTTTGTGATTCATAATAAGCCCCTTTCAATCCACCTGGGTTGTGCTAATGAGGTGACTCCGGGTGGGTGCTGATGGCTTCAGGATGGGGACTGGTGATTAGAGGGCTGAAACTTTCAGCCCCACCCCGAAGGGAGTGGGCAGGGGGCTGGGGATTAAGTCAGTCACCAGCAGCCACTGAGTTGATCAGTCCCTCTGCCATGAGCCTTGTAAAAACCCTACACGTTGGG